ATTCCTGGAGGGGGTGGGGTATCCCCGATGTGATGATGTCACATTGGGGACGTCCGCCGCCGCCCCCACCCGCCCGTGTGCCAGATCTCCAGAAACGGCAGTTCCCTGCACTTAAAGGAGCCGGCGTTTCCCTTTTAAATGTAGGAGCCGGCGTTTCCCCTTTAAGAGCAGCCACATTGCCCTTTTAAGAGCACGAAGCTGGCATTTCCCTGCAAGCTTGCGGAGATCAGGCTTGGGAGGAAACACGGGTTCCACACACTTAAAGGGAGAGAGATGGGTGGCTGTGGGTGTTGGGGGTGGGGCTTCCCCCGCCGGCCATCTGGCCGGCGGCAGGTAGAACCCCCCACAGAACAGGGGACCCCTGGCAAACCGGGGGGTTTGGCAACCCTAGTTTAGATAGGAGAATGTTTGGACTGTTCCCTTCATTTTTTTGTTACTTTGATTATGCATCCGATTGCCTATATATGAATTTGAATGAATTTCGTAAATACCTATATGGTGATTATACTTATTGCACACAATTTATATTTTTATTAAATACTGATGCATTTATTGTATGTTTATACACGGTGTATTCTATTGTTTTGTACTTATTCCATCGTGGTCCCTGTTTTGTTGATGTTCAACCTCCAAAGCAGCCATTTTCTCTGGGGGAACTAATCTTGTCTGTCTGGAGATCAATTGTAATAGCACGAGACCTCCAGGTGTCTGGAGGGTGGCAACAAGTGTTTGGGCAGTTACGGGCCAAAGGTGGTATGATGAGGCAGTTTTGTGCTCCTAAATCTCCTTTTTTTAAAAAATTGTACTTTACAGCAGCTGTGAGGAACTGCCAGTTTGGTTGGAGAAGGGTTGTTCGACCTTGTCAGCTTCTGCTCTTCCCCCGACATAAGTTGCTCCCCTGAAGCAGCTATTAACTCTGCAGGGGGGGAAATAAATATTTTTACTCCTGTGGAGATAACAGCCGCTTTTTGAGAAGGGGAGTGCTTACATTGGGGAAATGGCTGTCATGAAGTACACAAAAACGAACAGCTCCCTTACATCTTGTTTAGTGGTGATGTGGTTAGACAGTCTAGGATACGGGAGACCTGGGTCCGAATTCCCACTCTACCATGGAAGCTTGCTAGTTGAGCTTGGGCCAATCACACATGCTCAGCCTAACCGACTTCACAGCATCGTTATGAGGATAAAATGGAGAAGGGGAAAATGTTAAACCGAAACAGAAGTGGGGGGGGGGAAGCACCAAAGTTGGGTACCCAAAGGTTGGGTGAGAGAAAAAAATATTTTGAGAAATAAAATATTTGTATTTGTTATAAAGTGCATTGAAACGAAACTTTAAAAACGAAGAAGAAGGAGGAGGAGGAGAAGGAGGAGGAGGAGGAGGAGATTGGATTTATACCCCGCCCTTCACTCAGAGTCTCAGAGTGGCTTACAAACTCCTTTCCCTCCCCCTCCCCACAACAGACACCCTGTGAGGTAGGTGGGAAAGAGAGAGCTCTGAGAGAACTGCTCTTTCAAGGACAGCTCTGACAGAACTATGGCTTGCCCAAGGTCATCCAACAGCTGCAAGTGGAGGAGCGAGGAATCAAACCCAGTTCTCCCAGATTAGAATCTGCCACTTCACCAAATTGGCACAATCCGTCCTGGAAGTGGCAAATATTTGAAATAAGTTCATTTCAATATTTATAGGTTAAAACCTTGAACCAATAAAACAGGACCAATAATTCAAAATAGCTAGGTAGATAACTTTGAATGACATTAAAACAGGACCAAACACGTTTCGGCCTCCAAGGCCTGCCTCGGAGTTCAGTTTTTGTATATACATGTACACTATGCCTCGGTCATAAGAACACCTTCCTCAGAGTAAGCCCCAAACAGACTTACCTTCATAGGATTGCTCCCTAAACAAGCAATTTTAGAAATATCGCTACTAATTATTATTAGGGCTGCCAAGTCCCCCTTGGGGGGCAGAAAACCCCCCGCCCCAGAGGCCCATCCCCCAACACCAAGGAATCGGGCCCCGGGGGGATGGTTTTCCCTTGTATGGCCGTGGCCCCGCCCCCAGCATGCCCGGCGTCATGACGTCACTTCCCTGTGACGTGCATGCGGCGCGCACGCCAGGATCCGCATGGGAGTCCCCCGCCGGCAAGGTAAGTGCCACTTGGCAACCCTAATTATTATTATCACTGAGTCTAAGCAGAGGGGAAATGAAGGGGGGGGGGTGGAAGCTCAGGACTTACAGTGAACCTGAACAAACACAACTGCCTCCTCTCGGCCTGCTGCGTTCTCTGCTGTCACCGAAGCACGGTAAACCCCGGGATTCTCATAGCGGTGTTGAATGGGCTCATCTGCCAGTGTGAGGTTCACGTACATGGCCTTAAAGCCGTCTCCATGGTCCACTTGGTATTTCGTATTTACAATATCTCCCTGTGAAAAATTGAGAGCATCCAAAATAAGAATTCCGAAAATTTAGTTCCATGACAAAACCTGGCAATGTGACACAAACAAAATCAGAGATCGGGAGATAATTACTGTCGGCTCTTTTACTGTACTGAACACTTCTCTCTTTTTAAAAACAAGAGATGGCCAGTGGGTTATTAAAAAACACCTGCTCAGAAAAGGGTCTGAAACAAAAACTATTCTCTGTCTCATCTGCATTTCTTCTGCTTGTTTATATGAGAACTTGTTTTGTAGTAACATATTTTCGTTGACAACTGGAATGCCCAACGAAATTTGCGATGCATGCTCAAAGCAAATTTTTGCAAAGTACACCCATGTGGCTAGAAACCATGCTCCACAACTCTAAGAGTCAAAGCAGAGGTATGGTGAGTGGAGGAGAATTTACCAGAGCATCCCTCCACGACTCTCGCTCTTGACTTGCTGCTCACTGCGGTTCAACCACTGGTGTTCATTTGGGGTTTCCTTTCCTTTCTTAGACTGCTGCTCATGACCCTGGGTACTGGTGATGTTGTAACTAGGGATGGGCACGAACCAGGAAAATGGAGGTTCACGGTGGTTCGTGGGGTCTCACGAACCACAGTTCGCAAAACCTCCACAAATGTTTCCATTTAGCAAACCGGTTTGGGTTCATGATGTTCGAGCAGCTTCCAAGTGGGGGGAGCGAAAGTGATGCAAGCCAGTTCAGCGATCTGCTTCCGTTCTGCTAGTTCAGTGATTCCTTTTGCTCCCCCAGCCGCAGAAGCCACAGCAGTTCTCACAAGTGAGCTCAGAAGGCATGCCTTCTGACAGCTCGCTCGTGTTGCACTGCGGCAGCAGCATGACTCGTGCAAGTCAACTCAGAAGGCATTTAAATGCCTTTTGAGCTCACTTGCATCGCGCCACCTCAAACCCTCTTACCAACCGAACGAACCACGGCAAAACCACGGTGATTCATGAGTGGTTCGTGAACAGCACAACTTCACGAATTGTCGATTGAAAATGCACAAACCAGCCCGGTTTGTCACAAAATTTGGTTTGTAATTAAGTTTGTGCCCATCCCGAGTTGTAACTCTGGCACCCACCAGTTCCTGTCAAGTGACTCTGATGTCACGTGACTTCCTGTCATGCAGCTGCAGCTTCATGGGTCCCATGCTCAGCAGTCCTGGGAGTGGAAAAGCTGAAATCCACTGGCTTAGATGGGCTGATGTTTTCACATGTTAAGCACCCCAGAGAGCACAATCCCCAAATCTGAAGTACAGAATTTCAGCAGAACAAAATTAACCCTTCAGTGTCAACCCTCTCCATCCTCAACGTCTCCTGTGGTCAGGTACCAGGTGCACTTATGCAGTCAACCTCTTTGAAGAGCCTCTGTAGAATGGATGAAGAGACACGTCCACAAGGAGCAACAAAGAGGAGATCTTCCATGCAGTGATGAGTTAACTCTGTTCATCTGCTCAGTTGCTGGAGGGCACTCAGAATGTATAGGTCTCCTGGGAGAATGCCTGATTTGCCTAAACTGTACTGTCTTGCTTGAGTGTATGAAGAGCCTGGGATTGCTCCTGGACCAGGGCTCTTTTTGTAGAAAAAGCCCAGCAGGAACTCATTAGCATAATAGGCCACACCCAGCAGCAGAAACTCATTAGCACATTAGGCCACACCCATGACAGCACAGCTCATTAGCATATTAGGCCACACCCCCGTGTTACCAGAAGTGTGGATATCCAACCACACCCATCTTTTGCTTCTTATTCTGTTTACCTTGTTTGTTGTCAAAACCCAGGGCCTTTTTTTGTAGCAGGAACTCCTTTGCATGTTAGGCCACACACCCCTACTGTAGCCATTCCTAATGAGTTTCTGCTGTTGGGTGTGGCCTATTATGATAATGAGTTCCTGCTGGGTGTGGCCAACTTGCGAGCCAGCCGGAATTCCGTTCCTGTGCGTTCCTGCCCCAAAATAGCCCTGTCCTGGACCATGTGTCAGCTAGCTGCCATTTTTTGCTTGTTTCCCTCCCTGTTCCCGCTTGCTCGCAGCTCAGCGGCTTGCAGTAAACATTGCTTGGGAGACCATGGGAGCCAGCTCTGCCAGACGGCGCTATCTGTCTGGCCTTGTGAGGAAGGGAGAGCTTGGGTTCCACCTCGAGTGTGAATCTTACTGCTCTCATGTAACCCTGCGAGTCTCCTGCTCATTTTGTAATCTCCCGCCGGGAGAATTCCCCCGCGCGCACTCGGAGTTCATTTGCTTAGCCATTTGCCTCGTCCTGCTATATGTAGGGATGTTTCCGCCCCATGGTCATTCCTAACAATAATCCTGTAGATAGGATACCAGTTTTGTACTCTAATAAAGCATAACGCGTCTTAGGAAACGTGTGTGGAGAGCAGGCTAATGAGTCCCCCTAGCTCTTTTTCTACGAAATGACCCCTGGTGGAGAGTTACTTGCTGTGAAACCTGACACCATGCTCCCCCCCTTTTTTTTTTGAGAAAGTCAGGAGTACTTTCTGCCTGATCTGACAGCTCTCTTCTCTCTTTGCTGCACTGACCCATGCATCATATACCTCCAGATCACAATGCAGTAACCTGCTTTATGTTAGGCTGCCCTTGAAGGTAACACAGAAACCGCAGCAGGTGCAGAACACTGCAGCATAGTTCCTGGCTGATGGGAGCCATTATCTGCAAATCACACACCATTTTAAAAAACCCAACAACGCTGGATTTATGTGTAGATTCAATTTAAGATACTGGTTTTGACCTATAAAGTCCTTTACGACTACATATTTGAAGGACCATCTCTCCTGCTATACGCTGATGCAGCAGCTGAGGTCTGCCTCATGTCATCTATTAGCGATTCCCAGGGCTATTTTTGGGCAAGAACGCACAGGAACGGAGTTCCGGCTGGCTCCTGAGTTGGCCACGCCCAGCAGGAACTCATTAGCATAATAGGCCACACCCAACAGAAGAAAATCATTAGGATTGGCTACATTAGGGGTGTGTGGCCTAACATGCAAAGGAGTTCCTGCTACAACAAAAGGCCCTGGGTTTTGACAACAAACAAGGTCAACAGAATAAGAAGCAAAAGGTGGGTGTGGCTGGATGACCACACTTCTGCGAACATGGGGGTGCGGCCTAATATGCGAATGAGTGGTGCTGTCAGGGGTGTGGCCCAATATGCTAATGAGTTTCTGCTATTGGGTGTGGCCTATTATGCTAATCAGTTCCTGCTGGGCTTTTTCTACAAAAAGAGCCCTGATTCCCCTTTTTCAAGAGGTACATCTGTCCTCTCTCAGGGCCACGTATTTCTTCAGAGTCACCCCTCTTGTAGAATGACTTCACAGAGGAGGAGTGCAGATGGCCTCCTCTAGCAGGATTTCAAAAGCTGTGTAAGGTTGGATTACTCCTGCAGGCCTCTGAAAGTTGAAGTGGATCGCTGATATGCTGTGCCCTGGACCAGAAGATGGCAGCTATTTTGTTTCTTCTGAACCTCCGAGGTGGAGATTGGCGTTCTTCAGAATTATGAGGCCGAAGGCATATACCGTCAAAGCTAAATGTGGGCAAATTCATCCTGCTCAGATCTTGAGGTTTCTACTGCAGTTGCATGAATAAAATTGCACGAGCTTCAAAGTTTGTATGTTTTTTTGTTAAAGTGACCTTTAGTGATGTTTTTGGTTGTCTTTGTTCCTAGTGTCCTTTACCGTTCTGTGCCAAAAAGCAGCAGGATACATAGGTTTAGGCAAACATATAAAGAGAGTTTTCCGTTTTCTGAAAGTTCTCTTTTGAATTCCTATGCTGCAATATATGTCCCCTGGGAAATGCAGTGAAGAACATTTGTTTTTTTCTGCCTAAATGTTTTCACTATTTAAAAAATAAATTTTAAAAATATCTACACTAGAAGGGTGAACAAATACACATGATGAAAATCTGTTACTTCCAGGGAAGAGGGAGTTTTTATGGTTTTTACTTTTTTTAAGAAGAAGAAGAGAAGAATAAGAGATTGGATTTATACCCTGCCCTTCACTCAGAGTCTCAGAGCAGCTTGCAAAATCCTTTCCCTTCCAATCCGCACAACAGACTCCCTGTGAGGTAAGTGGGGCTGAGAGAGTTCTGACAGAAACTGCTCTTTTTCAAGAACAGCTCTTATCAGAACTACAGCTTGCCCAAGGTCATCCAGCAGCTGCAAGCGGAAGAGTGGGGAATCAAACCCGGCTCTCCCAGATTAGAGTCCGTGCACTTAACCACTACACCAAACAAAGATAACCAAAAACCACAAACTTTTAAAAGTTATTTTAAAAACACATCTTTGAAATCTTCTCTGTACGAGAGCACAATAATTGTCACTTATTCTCCAACAGCTTTGCAGAAGTGACAGATTTTACTCTTACAATTGGAAATTGCCCAAGGAACTCCCTGAACACTGCAGCCAGAGTCCTCGTTGGGGCCAGCTATTGGCAGAATGTGAGCCCTTCATTAAAGCAATTGCACTGGCTACCAGTACATTCCTGAGCCCATTCAAGGTGTTGGTTCTAACCAGGGCTCTTTTTGCAGGAAAAGCCCAGCAGGAACTCATTAGCATAATAGGCCACACCCAACAGCAGGAACTCATTAGCATATTGGGCCACACCCCTGACAGCACAGCTCATTACCACATTAGGCTGCACCCCCATGTTACCAGAAGTGTGGTTATACAGCCACACCCACCTTTTGCTTCTTATTCTGTTTACCTTGTTTGTTGTCAAAACCCAGGGCCTTTTTTGCAGCAGGAACCCCTTTGCATGTTAGGCCATACACCCCTAATATAGCCAATCCTAATGAGTTTCTGCTGTTGGGTGTGGCCTATTATGCTAATGAGTTCCTGCTGGGCGTGGCCAACTTGGGAGCCAGCCGGAGCCCCGTTCCTGCGCGTTCCTGCCCAAAAATAGCCCTGGTCCTAACATTTAAAGCCCTTCATGGCTTGTGAAGGACCATCTCCTGCTCAGGGATTAAGATCACAGGGAGAAGGCCCTCCTGACTGCCCCTCCAATCAAAGAAGTACACAAGAGAGGACCTTCTCAGTGGTAGCCCCACGATTATGAAACAACCTACCCAGGGAGGTGTGCCTGACCTCCTCACTTTTCAATCTTTAGGTGGCAACTGAAGACAGTTTTATTTAGCACTGCATTTCGTCACGTTTACCAGCTCTCCTGAGAAGAGACCTTAAATTTTGGTTTCATGTTTTTTAATGTATTTTATTCGATGTGTTTGATGTATGTTCGTAAGCCGCCTTGAGCTCCTTAAGGGAGAAAGGCAGCCGACAAACGTTTTAAATCAATCAATCAATGTTAACAAAAAATAAAACTTTGACTACCTGATCTTGTTGGACAATGAAGGAGACACTTTCTCCCGGCTTAACTGCCAGGCTGTCCCCTTTGACGCTGATCTGCAATCGTTTGGGAGCGGTGACCGGACACGGGTGTCGAGACACGTTTTGCTGTAAATCCACACCACCCTCACACACGTTAGAGATAACTTTGCGATACCTGTAGGGGAAACAAAGGCAGAGACACATGTCTGGATGCCGAACAGGGCTGGCTATCAGAAGACTGTCCATCTCATGCCCAGGATCTAGTACGTCTGATCCTGCGAGATCGGGCCATTCAGTGGCCAGGCGGTGAGGCAGGCAGTGCTGCTCGGCGATGGCTTCTCGAGGGCAGAGCAAGGCCCAAGAAGAAAGTGAGGAAAGAGGTCAATGTGGGATTGGTAAGTCAAGCTGAAGAAAGTTCTAAGAAGGCTGCCTGAGCAGGTAGAGCAGAGATTCATCTGGCCCATCTTGTTACCTCCTTATTACCATCTGTACCATGGTCTTTAATCTCTGAGAACACAGAATGATAACCGCCTTGGTTTACCCAAGGTAAAGCTAAAGGTAAAGGTTCCCTTGCTTGAAAGCCAGTCGAGTCCGACTCTAGGGTTGCGGTGCTCATCTCCGTTTCAAAGCCGAAGAGCCAGCGCTGTCCGAAGACGTTTCCGTGGTCACGTGGCCGGCACGACTAGACACCAAGGCGCACGGAACGCTGTGACCTTCCCACCGAAGGGGTACCTATTTATCTACTTGCAATGTCTTGCTTTCGAACTGCTAGGTTGGCAGGAGCTGGAACTAGAGACGGGAGCTCACTCCATCATGCGGCAACCTGGGTCTTGAACTGCTGAACTACTGACCATCCACAGCCTGAAGTTCAGCGTCTTAACCACTTGAGCCACCACAGGGATAAGTAGGTATTATTAGGTGCTGGTGTGAGTTCTGGGAATGGGATTCCCGGTATTTTTGTTGTTGTTGTTTTTAAACTCAAAGTGCACACAATTCAGATTGTGGACAAATTACAAGGGGAGGAGGATGTTGCGCTTTCCCCCCCATATACTTTCCCCCCACCCTGCAGAGCTATTTGCCCTGCTGGGCCAAACGTAACATGTACCTGTTTTAGAACTTTAATGTCTCCCCAGTGGGCCAAACTTTAGCTCCACAGGGAGAGCTTGAGGTAGGAAAACGGTGTGAAGAGAAGGTCTGAAAACCCCTTCCCGCTTGCTACAGTCTTGATCTGATTGGAGGTTGTGCACACCTACTTAAAAAACAAAACCAAACCTGACTGGAGTCCCATTGATGGGGCTTCCAGAATTACATCTCACTAGGCTTAGGGAGTTCACTAGTGCCACAAGATATCTGTCATCTGTATATCACATGTTATTCTGCCCTTCCTTCAAGCTCATTCCATCCACAAAATGCAAATTACAGGTTTATGCAGCCTCAGTTTGCCTCAGGATTGTACAGGGAAGGGACAGGGAGGTTAACCCTTCAAACTCCACTCAGTGTCACTATTCAGAACTGGCCTCCCTGCTGTGTTCTTCATATTTTAGAAAGGAAAAATGCATATTTTAAAGGACACATCTTTTCTCCTTTAAAATGCTAACAGCAGAGCAGGGGAGATAACTTCAAATAGAAAAACTAGGCAGAAGTTGAAGGGTTAAAATCCCTCTCTCTTCCCTGCACAACCCAAAGCAAATTGAGGCTGCACAACCCTACAATTTTCATTTTATAGATTTTTAAACTTCATCGTCATCTGGGCTGCTGGGACGCCTTTGCCACAAACTTCCTCAGTCAAAACACTTCTCCCACAACTTAAGACATCCATCTATAAAGGCGGGAGGGTGTTTGATATGAACTGGAGAATACTTTTCACGCTAAAAATGGTCTAAGAACCAATCTGCTTTCTTCAACCAGTGATGGGTAACATTACCAACCCTTGCACACCTGTTTAGAAAGACAATCAATGCGACAACTACATAAAGGTTGGAATGAGACACACGAGGACACTTTTCACCACAACACACATGCATACCCAGCCACTTACCCTGTGCTGCTTCTGTATTCGTGTCCTAACAGACAGTCTTCAGGAGGCATTTCTGGGTGAAACCAAAAGTCAGCAAAGCATGTGCTAGACTCAGATTTTAGCAGCGCTGAACGCTCAAACCCATAATCACTACAGGACAACAACAAAGATTAATTGTTCAACAGACTGATCTTTGCTGGTAGGTGAGCTGTATGTCAAAACTGGACTGTGTTAATTGGATAAAACTCCTGACTTAAACCTCTGGCATAAAAAACTATGGAGAACCTACATAATGGCCAAGCTCTCTGACAATATTAACCAACTCAAACATCCTCTCTCTTCTTCTACTTTCTCGGCTGTCTGGTTTCCTATTCTAGAATATCTCATTTCACAAGAAACCATCCCTAATACAATTAATGACCTTTCCTTGGAACCTTTACCTTTTTTTACACATTTTAAAACTTAGATTCATTAAAAATATACCATTCAGACATGCTGTGTTCTTCATATTTTAGAAAGGAAAAATGCATATTTTAAAGGACACATCTTTTCTCCTTTAAAATGCTAACAGCAGAGCAGGGGAGATAACTTCAAATAGAAAAACTAGGCAGAAGTTGAAGGGTTAAAATCCCTCTCTCTTCCCTGCACAACCCAAAGCAAATTGAGGCTGCACAACCCTACAATTTTCATTTTATAGATTTTTAAACTTCATCGTCATCTGGGCTGCTGGGACGCCTTTGCCACAAACTTCCTCAGTCAAAACACTTCTCCCACAACTTAAGACATCCATCTATAAAGGCGGGAGGGTGTTTGATATGAACTGGAGAATACTTTTCACGCTAAAAATGGTCTAAGAACCAATCTGCTTTCTTCAACCAGTGATGGGTAACATTACCAACCTTTGCACACCTGTTTAGAAAGACAATCAATGCGACAACTACATAAAGGTTGGAAGGAGACACACGGGGACACTTTTCACCACAACACACATGCATACCCAGCCACTTACCCTGTGCTGCTTCTGTATTCGTGTCCTAACAGACAGTCTTCAGGAGGCGTTTCTGGGTGAAGCCAAAAGTCAGCAAAGCATGTGCTAGACTCAGATTTTAGCAGCGCTGAACGCTCAAACCCATAATCACTACAGGACAACAACAAAGATTAATTGTTCAACAGACTGATCTTTGCTGGTAGGTGAGCTGTATGTCAAAACTGGACTGTGTTAATTGGATAAAACTCCTGACTTAAACCTCTGGCATAAAAAACTATGGAGAACCTACATAATGGCCAAGCTCTCTGACAATATTAACCAACTCAAACATCCTCTCTCTTCTTCTACTTTCTCGGCTGTCTGGTTTCCTATTCTAGAATATCTCATTTCACAAGAAACCATCCCTAATACAATTAATGACCTTTCCTTATGGTAAAGCTTTTTACTGCTACTTATGTCGTTTAACGGCATGGAATATCTTGGTTAATCACTATTAGGTTCTATATAAGCTATAGGTCAATTTCCTTATGAAGGTTTCAACTTTACCATCGTTTATACTAGCTAACATTTGAATTTCATTGTGCTTTATATCTGAGTCATGATCATCCTGAACAGTATCTATGTACTCTGTATATGACGGTGAAATGGCAATAAAATGTATTTTGAAAGAACACTGGGCTGTGTAACACTGGCCTAGAACCCATTCAAGCTGCCTGTGGTGATAAGAACATAAGAGACGCCAATGTTGGATCAGGCCAAAGGCCCATCCAGTCCAACACTCCGTGTCACACAGTGGCCAGAAATACCAGGTGCCATCAGGAGGTCCACCAGTGGGGCCACGACATTAGAAGCCCTCCCACTGTTGGACCCCCAAGCACCAAGAAGACAGAGCATCACTTGCCCCAGAGTCCCTATCTATACCTTGTGGCTAAGAGCCACTGATGGACCTCTGTTCCATATGCTTATCTAATTCCCTTTTGAAGCCATCCATGCTTGTAGCCGCCACCACCTCCTGTGGCAGTGAATTCCATGTGTTAATCACTCTTTGGGTGAAGAAGAACCTCATTTTATCCGTTCTAACCCGACCGCTCAGCAATTTCATGGAGTGCCCACGAATTCTTGTATTGTGAGAAAGGGAGAAAAGTACCTCTTTTCCTACCTGCTCTATCCTATGCATAAACTTAGAAACCTCGATCATGTCACCCCTCAGTCGTCGTTTCTCCAAGCTAAAGAGCCCCAAGCGCTTTAACCTTTCCTCATAGGGAAAGTGTTCCAACCCTTTTATCATTCAAGTTGCCCTTTTCTGCACTTTTTCCAAAGCTATAATATCCTTTTAAGGTGTGGTCCATGGAGACGCACAGCTGACATCTTGTGTTGCCCCACTGGAAGAAGCGTCATGCACGGTCTCTTGGTCCTGAAACAAGCCTGGAAGCTTCAGTACAATCAGCCCACCTAGCATCCCAAGAGGTAACCTGGTAAAAACAGACTCTTTCAGGAGGGATGTCTGGTCTCTCTTTTCTGCAGCATGCAATGGCCTATCAAGCATTATTTGGGGACTAGTCCAAGCCTGAATCGCAAGATTCCGTGCTCGGAGGGCAGCGGCCACTGAAATGTTATGAGATACAAGATGAAAACAAAACAAAAAATGCATGTGCCCAAATTTTAACACCAATAATCAGTGAATTTAATAACAGTAAGACATATAAAGTACTCAGAACAGATTTTCTGTAAACAGCAGGTAGAAATTCACTGGTAAAGTTGAATATAGGTAGAAATTCACAGGTGTAGTTTTCCCACAAACAATTTGTCATAAATTCAAAAAAGTCCTTGATCTGTAAGGATGTAGTAGTGTTTCTTGCCAGCTGACTGAACGGACCCCTGGTTCTAAATCCGTTTCAATAATTTGTTTTTCAAGAATCATGCTGGATTCAACATTTCAAAGGTACATGTAGACATCCATAAGGTTTCCCTCTAATGAAAATGGTGAAATGCTTCAGAATTTTGAAGGGAGGCTCCAAGAAATGAGAGATTCTGCAGTGGGAATCACTGAAGATTGCTGTATTTGAATATGCTTTACCAGTAAATTTCAACCTGTTGTTTATGGAAAATTTGTTCTGAGTATCTTATATGTCTTACTATTATTACAATTCATTGATTATCACTGCAGTGCTATGGACTGCTTCTATCATGGAGGTGGAATGGTACAGTGGTACAGGCTGAATGGTCCCTGATATGAGTTCTGATTATACTACATACCAGCTATGTTTGTGCCTGCAAAAGACATCCGCATGCAGGAAACAAGAGCTGATTCATGCTATCTGTTACGTATTCATGGTACAATTTGCATCTCTCTGGAGTCAGCCTCAAAAGTCCAATAGATTCTGACTGGCCAGGGTTACAGAGCAGACCTGAGGTTTAATTAGAGATGTGAAGGCCCGGAAAAAACCCGGAAAAATTTGGAAAAAATCCGTTCCCCCCCCCCGTTTTTTTCCTGAAGCCTTTTTTGTTTTTTTCCGAAAAATTGAAAAAAGAAAAAAAAATTGATTATGAAACATTTTATTTTAACATGATGAATAAAATATTTTAAGATATGGTATCAGATTGATCTAATTTCTGTGCACTGAGGACAAGCAAGTCCTAGGTTACCAACTGAACTCTCCAATGCAAGAACAAGATGCATTTCTTCCTTTAGGAGGTGCGATTGTCAGAAGAAAATAAAAAAGTTTCAGTTTTGTTTTTGCATGTGGGTGGGTATTCTCTTTGTAATAATTGTTTGGATACACTATATTTTTAATATGCTAGTTGTTGATAATTTCATGCCAAGTAAAAATGTCCATAGTCATATTTTATGTTCCTAAAGTAACAGAATGACTTTCAATCTAGAAAAGACAAAAGAAATGCTAATGTAGCATTTTTTTAAAAAAAATTCCAAAAATTTCCATTTCCCCCCGAAAAAAACTGGAAAATACCCGGGTTTTTTTCTGAGCTTCAAAATTTCCGGAAATTTTACATCTCTAGGTTTAATTCATTGGAAAAGGCAGCATTGAGTTCAAAACATTTTGAAGCTTTGCTACTATAATGAATAGTGGTGTGGTATGAAATGCTTTATTGTCACATCATGTGGATTTCTCCTCGAGGCCCTTGTAAGTTCCTGCGGTCCTTCCCGAGTTTCACTGGATGTGTCCGCGATAAAGCGGAATGCTCAGTTTGGGAAAGGGAGGAGCCAGCCAGGCTAAACTACCGCTTTGAAGGAAAGAAAGTGTGTGCAGTTAGCTGAACTCCACATGAAGTGAACTGCTGGCCAATCATTCTCATTGGCCTTTGACGGGACAAAGTTGGAAACAGTTTTGTTTTTTTTCAAAATGAGTGCAAAGCCGCCTCTTCTCAAAGGAACGCAGCCGTGTTCAGTATGCCCAGGACTCGTCTCAGGGTCTCCTCCAGAACCACCACAAAGATCCAGAGAAAGGCTCACCATAAGAAATCAGAATGGCGACACTCACAAACTTTAGAAGTGAGTGCTGACATAAAGCTTCTCCCTTTTATGCACCACGACGAACTCTTCCTCTTCCGAAAACTCCTCTGCTGACCCATGATGCAGCGGTCACCCTGAAATATTAAAATGTCAACTCTCACAGCTATCAGGTACATAAGAACATAAGAACATAAGAGAAGCCAATGTTGGATCAGGCCAATGGCCCATCCAGTCCAACACTCCATCACACGGTGGCCAGAAACACCAGGTGCCATCAGGAGGTCCACCAGTCGGGCCAGGACACTAGGAGCCCTCCCACTGTTGCTCCCCGCCCAAGCACCAAGAAGACAGAGCATCACTTGCCCCAGCCTGAGAGCTCCTATCTATACCGCGTGGCTAATAGCCATGGATGGACCTCTGTCCATGCTTGTAGCCGCCGCCACCTCCTGTGGCAGTGTATTTCTCCTTGTGCCAGGCTGAGAGATACACATTTGTTTGGGAATTATATTTCAGAATTATTTTTTTGATGTTCTTAGGCCCCGGTCACACGAAAGGTTTTGGGCCGGGAGAGGGACGGATCGGGGGCGCAGCAAAGAGACGCGATCCCACCGCAACATCTGGGAAACGTTGCGCACCTGTCCCCGATCC